GTAGCATTTTTTCACCATTCAGCATATTTCCGAAAATGATTAAATTCAGGGCGATAAAAAGTTCATAAATTTCAGCTACGAGATCAATTCGCTTGTAAAGTATGCGCTTCGCTATATAAAAGAATAATTTATCAGATATAGAAAGATGTTCCATGATAGCGAGTTACCTCGCAAACAGAATGTAGAACTAGAAATTCTTTCTCATGCTTTACTCATCCAAAGTCGTCTTTAAAACTTAATTTTCAAAGCTTGACATCATTTGTTCTCTTCTTTTCAATTATAATGCAAAATTACGCGTGACAAAATTTTTACATTAATTCTGGAATAGCTGCTTCTGGATCACTATAAATTTTACAAATCAGTTGTGCAGATATACCAGAACTTATTGGAAATATAACGTAAGATAAAAGCTTTAAAAAAGGTGAAATAATTAATAAAAACGCCACTGACTAGAAAAAAAAGAAATGAAGAATAAGTATGATAAAATTAGCATGTTTGTATCGTGTTTTATTGTTCGCGATCGGTATCATTGATACAGAGGCGAGCAGAATAAAATCGTTTGTCTGATATCCTCTTTATCTATTTATCTCTCTTCTCAATTTGTAATAATTATTCGCATAATTTTTAAATTAAATCTCAAAAATCGATCTAACAGCTAAAACAATAATTATCCGGTTTATTTAAATGTCAATTGCATAATCTATATTACTTGCAACAAATACTGTACAAAAAAAGAAGATGCAATTTGCATTAAAAACGCGCAAAATCGATCTTACTACTATTGATAAGTAGCTAGTGGAAGCTACCTCCGTTCGAGGACGGTTTCTGGCTAGCGGATGCGGCGATGCGGCTTTGTTGTTCGTCGCCAGTATCACGTCCAGGACCAATTTTCGCTGGTGGTATTCGATAGTACTAGCATTCTCGCCGGCTTGTATCGAATATCCGGCGCAGCAGGAACGCGTCACGCTGCTGCTTCTTGTCACTTGCACTACAGTTTGTACTTTTGCCGATAGATCGTTCGACCGCCTGCTCGATGGCGTGCTTGTACTTTCTAATTGGACACACCGTTGGGCACAATCTTGCTTACGATGCTCCGCGTCGGAGAGAATTGGACCCCCAGAGAATGATAGAAGGGCGGGATGCACGCACCGACAACGGAATTCTGCATCGAACTATTGTGAATGACAGTCTTGCTCCTCGACAATGATAATGAATTCAGCACTTACGTACTGACGTTGTGCATATTGTTATGCATTGTGTTCTTCACGTTTTGCGAGTTTGGCGATCCCAACGGCATGGAGGCGGTTGTCGTTTTTCGCCTGGCGTTCGACGAAGTGCTGGAGGAACTGTCATTGCCGAAGTTGAGCTTAACACCACTCGTTACACCGGCAGCTTTGGACCCGTCATGTACCAGTTGTGTATGTGCACTAGTAGCCTTCCAATGCTCCACTTGAGCCTCGTGTGATTTTTGCAGCACCTTACGTACGTCCCCGTCTTCACCGCCCTCCTTCATAATTTCTTGCAACTTCTGTATGGTCTGATACAATATCACCGGACTGATCAGCCCAAAATCAAACAGACTGCACATATGCAATACGAAGTTGCGATAGAGGTTCTTCATGAGCAACTCCTTCCCCTTATTCTCTAAGAACATTTGGCAAGCTAGTGGTATCTGGCAGTCTCCCACATATCCATGTTTCATCACATGTAGGTTCCACATCTTCATTAACTCTTTCTCGCCCTCGTTCACATCCGTAAAGTCATCGATCATCATCATTGTCTTTGTTTGCAGCCACTTAGGATCATTCTCACCCTCGGAATCGATATCCATCTCTTTGGGATATATAGGCAGGCAGGTCACAGTATGATGATACAGTCTAAAGGAAGATGTCCAGTTTATAATGTCCAGTGTAAAAGATTATTTATATCATAACTATTGTGACTATTCATGATGCTTACCTATTGTGGCCGGTGATATAAGGCCTTTGACTTTCAAACTCATTCTCGTCAAGTTCCAGAAATTCGGACAGACTTGGTTTCGTTCTCTTCGGACGGCACACCAGGATATTCGTCACGCTCGTACGTCTGGTTGGTCCTGTCCTTGAAAAAGGTATACTAGACGGTTGTGAAATTAATTCATGAGGACTACCTGCATACGAACCATCATAGCATTCGTTTATTGCTACATCAATTCGGGCACCTTGTGGAATTGGCTAGAAGAGAAAACATTTACACTCAATTACTGGCACAGCATGGAGGAGTCTCTTTATTTTAACCGATCAAATCAATTGCTTGTTTCTCTCCAACCACGTGGTTACCATATATATTAGCACCGACGATATACTATTAAAGACCGTCAACCCTAGGCAAATTTTCGGCGGTATAAAAAGGGCCCCAAGGGCCCGGAAGTAATTGAAGAATGCTGATATTATCGACAATTGATATAAATTTGCTATTATTAACATAAATATTTGGCTCATACATTATTAAATTCATGATTTTTTTATTACATAAATATTCCATAAATAAATATGCATACTTGTAAAGCTATATTATCCTATATATTGCAGAAAAATTATAATTTTTTCTCTGCAATTATCATCTCTGTTGATAATCAAACTTTTACGTTACACTGAAATTATAATTTTAAAGAAAAATCGAGTATTATTGAGTTCTAAATGCATAAATACATCTACTAACTAATAAATCATAAAATTAGTATAATATTATCAATTTTTAACTCTTAAAATTACTTCAATATTTACAAGAAACTCCTGTAAGGATGTTTTATATCAGTCTTTAATAGTATCTCGTCGATAATATTAGCGACAAAAATGGAAAGTATTATAGCTGCAAAATTCTTCAGGGATATTAATATTATTTACATCTATCCATTAAGTTTTTCTTTAAAAAAAATAGAATCTAAATATATATATATATATATA